TTTATCAATTCACAGACTTGTTGATGGATTTTATTCAGTCTTTGCAAACCAGATCCTCTCTATCTCTCTTAGTTGGGAAACCTGAGAAATTGTTTGGAATAAGTTTGCCTATAGAAGTCTCTTCATTAAATAGAGCAAATATTTCCCAAAGACTTTATGTGACCTCCACTGCTGTAGCTGACATGTTAGGCTTCCCAGTGAAATCCTTGGTGTGTTTGCAATTAAAATGTTTTTGTTCGATATTGATGATGATAATCTTTACCAAGGCCAAAGCCAAAACAAACAGGGCTGTGGAAGCAGAAAATCAAGACATAATAACTTGGTACAGATAAGCAATTTGGGATTGAATTCAAGCCTCTTTCCAGAGGCACGTATAAGGTTATCAAGTATAAAATAATGAGTGATTTTCTTTGTTATATTATCATAGAAATAATTTGTGGAACATCAAATGTCAGTTTTTTAAACTAACTTTAATTATCATACCAGGATCGTTGAATTCCAAGCTTGAACATTGTGGAAATCCACTTATGTCTGATGGTCTCACTTTTTTCCCCCAACTCTTTCGTATGTTTTGGGGGTGAAGGGAGTGCTAAAATTTAGTATTCACAACTACTTTTTAAACTGTCAGACAAATCTTGAGATGCTAAAAGTGACCTCTATCCTTATGAAGACATTTTTGACTGAAGTTAGAAGAATATACCCATTTGCATTTTTCTTCTAGTAACATTTCATTTCAAAACGCCCCTCCCACAACATCATACCTGGACTTTTTTTTTTTAATTTGTTAGTTTAAATATGAATATCTCTCATTGCCTAATCCAATACATTGATAAATTAGCAATAACATGGTATTTTCTCAAAGATCCAAGCCATCAAGATATTTCTCCCACAGGCCCCTCTAGTCACTCCCTTAAACTAATTAAACTTATGAAAGATGGTGCTCCTTCCTGGAGTTTTCACTCCGAAAGAAGCAGTTTTTTGCAAGCCTAGTTCAGAGTCAGTGTGTGCGTTGGAATGGCTATGCCATGTGCTGGAACAAAGATAGCGCTGTAAGAACTGGCTACTTTCTCTACTCTCAAGGCTGCTAAATGTCCTTACTTAGGCCTTTGATCTCTCCTGGAAGTCTTCTAATTCAAGCAGAGGCCAATGTCTTCCTCAGCTGTCTTCTCCACAAATTCTTCCAGCAGCTCTGGCAGGTACTAATGTGTTTACTTAGGTGTGCCTGATTCACAGAGCTAATAGCAGTTTGAAATTGTTTAACACATTGTGAAGTCATCTATAATAAGCAAAAATATCAAGAGCGACTCCCTCTGTCCAGGAGTTGATAAGGATCTGCAGGTAGGGGCAGAAGCAAATTGAGATGGATTTATCTTTTTATATGTATTGGGTTTCTCCCTCTAAAAGAAGCATGAAGAATTTTCAATAAGGTAGAATTCCCAGGATGGGCAAAATTTACTAGGAACTATGAGCGTCATTTTGCTCGTGTGGTCTGTCCACCAATACTAGTTTGTTGCCATAATGCTTAAACTAAAATAAGTTATGCAAAAAAAAAGTCGATGTTATTTAAAAGTCATTGCAATTTAAACTTGTTTATAAATCTAAACTGTAAGAAAATTAGACATTTATTTATTTTGTTCAGAATGTAAAATGAAGCAAATGTAAATAAATAAATTATTTATCGAATTTACCAGAACCTTGGTGGGTATTCATTCACAGCACCAGGAGTGGCCGAGTTTTCTTTCCTTCATCTGGCTACTGTGAGACTTTCCTAGCAGACAGTCAGTGTTGGAATATCTTTTCTAACATTCTGTTAACATATTATATAAATGTGAGTTTTCTCTGCAGGTTAAAAATTCACTTCTCTGGAGTAATAGTGGAAAAACAGATTATATTTTCATTCTTTCTGTGAGGAGTAAAAGCCAATCTAGTCTGATTTTAAATAAAAAGGGTACACTGATAGCTCCATCTTTTTTAAAAGCAATTTTTAAGTTTTCCCCATGTTTCCCTGTTCAATTTCTTACTCAAAAAAAAAAAATCATTTTTCTCTATGGCGCTTACTCACCCAGTTCCTCACTGATCTCTTGCAAGGTCTCCCTGGGAAAAAGAGCAGGAGAACCTCTCCTGGATGGGGGACAGCAGTCATCTTTGTGGCACTGGCTGCCTACCTTCTTTGAATAGTGTCATAGTGTCTCCTTTTTGGGGGAAAGAGGGGATCTCTTTCTTCTATCGCCCCTAACGGCGTTTTAAAAGTTTTGTCTCGTTTTTTACTTTGGTGCTCTGCGATCCTATTTTCAGCACTTGAGTCCCAAGGGCCCTCACCCCCAGACCCTCTTCCCCCCTGGCAAGTACCATGAAGACACCGGCCGCTTGTGTTTTCTTGCCTTTTTTAGTTCCAGCCGCCTGCTGCACTCCGGTAAATTTGTTTTGAGATCACCTTACCGAAGAGGGCCCTAACCTCTGAGCACTATTGTTACTGACAGAGGCTCCTGAGTGACAGCGTCTTCCCAGGCAGGAGAGCTGAAGCAAAGCTGTGGAGCTTTTGCGGGCTTCTTCTCTGGCGTGCTAAGGAAGCGTGCTGAGCCCGAATTGGTAGCAGAAGAAAACAAACAAAATCACCTCTAGTAGCGGGGAAGCTGAAGCTCTAATGACCGGGTGCCTAGTTTCCAATCCTCTGTGACCTCGGGGCAAATTACCTAACCTCTGGAGCTTGAGTTTACTTTCTTTTTAAAATGGGTCTAATAATAGCTCCCACAGGATCTCTGGGAGTATTAATTGAGTTAATATATGGAAACGGTTGAGAACAGGGTTCAGCAAATAGAAAACCCTCAATAATTGTTAGCTACAAATACATCACGTGGAGGGGATTGGGTACAAAACACATTAAATGTTTTCAGAAATTAGCTGAAAGGAGAGCAGAAATGTAACCTCTATCTTTCACTTAAACTTTAAAGACAGGGTTTGTGTCCAGATCACAGCTCTGTTTTAGCTGCACCAAATGTGCTAGTATGTGGACTCCACGGCCAATAAAAGTGGTCTTGGGGCTGCTGACAGAACGTATGGGATCTGGCTGAGAATTTCTGGGGGAGAATATCAACCCACTATTGTATTTCAGAGGTAGCAATGTGCTGTACACGCGAAATGTTTCCACCAGCACTGACCGTCTTAGATTCCACCTGGGCCCTTCAGGAACTTGACTCTTTTTATCTGGTGTAGCCCTGGGTACCGTATTCATTTCAAAGGCATAGACTTGTTAATAGCCCCAAGAAAGGTGCAGATGGATTTCCCGCTGGTCAGGTGATTAAGCGCCCATTGGTGTGAGAGGGAGCCTGATTTTCAGGAGGGATCTTTGTCTTAGGGATGATGGGACAGGGGTGAGGGGACAGTGACAGGCATGGGCTAGCAAACGTTAGTGACTGACACTGTCACTCTCATATCCCTGGTTTTCAGTGCCTTCACTTCAGAGGGAAGACCTCACCCTGAAAAAGTTAGTACTTCCCTGGCGCCTGCAGCTGCTGGATCAGTGACCTGGGGATGCTTTAGGAAAATAATTCTGTGAAAAAAATAACACCAAGAAAAGCTCCCCGCCCCAATAACTTAGGAGCCACAACACTGAGTGGACTGGATGACCCTAGGTGGAGTTGAGAACACTTCCTCTTCTTCTAATGGGGCCACAAGCCCTGGTCCAAAACCCCAGACTATTTGTGTAGACCTTAAGTAATTGCTTTTCCTAAATATAAACAGCACCTCCTCAACCCAAGTGATCTGAAAGTGGGTTAAGTGTGGAGGGAGATTGGTAAAAGCTGATTAATAGATTCATTCTCACTTAAATGGCAACCTTCCCCTCTTGCCTTCTACCTGCCAAAGTTCCAAAGACCCTGCTGCGACTGCTTTTCTGGAAGACTTTTGTCACCGAAGTGTGTGAAGTTACTCATGGTTTGAGGAGCTGGAAATTTTACACGAGCTGAGGATTGCTGTGCCAGCAGCTGGGACGCATCTGTAACGGTGTTAGTTTGCCTGAAAGCAGAAAATTAGCAACCCCAAAGCCCAGCTTGGCTGTTTAGTCTGTAGAAATGACAGGCTGGAGCAGAAAGAGAGGAAGAAAGGAAACTCGCCCCTGGAAAGGGAATTTGACTTCTACAGTTGGGCTTCTTCGATTGCAAATCTTAGCGATGTTTTCAGTGCAGGTCTTTGGCCTGCTCAGGGTCTAGCAAAGGCCTGGCAGAAAGGAGGTGGCGCTCGGCAAATATGTGTAGAAAGGAGAAAGGAAGGAAGCTGGGAAGGGAGGAATGCTCCCAGTCACCTGTACCCACTTCCACCTGGACTCCCCCACGTATAAGGAGAACTCAGAGCCGGCCCTGTCTAGGGAAAAGGAACCACCCCATTATCCTCAGTAACACAGAACCTGTAATAAATGACAATCTGATCAGAATTTTACCCACCTCAATCTACACAAAATAGATTTTAAAAAGCAAACTCTAGGTTCAGTCCACGATTGAAAACATCACGTCATGTTTTTAGTACCCGTTACTCATCCTGATTGAAAAAAAAAATCCTTAAATAATTAAAGTTCATGCAAAAGAGACACCTAAAAATAAGGTGTTTCCTCAGGTCCAGGACTGGTAGGGCAGGTCGGCTATTGGTGTCTGCTCAAAGGGAATTCTATTTATTATTATTCTTTTTAAATGTGCAAGAAATTGCAAAAAGTTGGACTTCCTGTTTCTTTTGTTTGTGACACCTTTTAAGTATCCCTTGGTTTAGGTTATGTAGAGAGTGCAAGTGAGCAGGTTGGGGAGCCGTTCCCACCCCAGCAGAAATGCAGTAAAACCATTAGCGTCAAAGGGACACTAAACAGCAAATTGTCTCCAGAGGAAAGGCGGAGGTTTGCCCAGACAGCCCCCGCGGGGCTTGCGGTGGGATATGCTAATAGTGCCCGGCCACTGGGGCCGGCCTCCCTCCCTCAAGAATATATAAATAGTCCCAACCCCAGCTTGTCGACCAGGCCAACAGGCGTCTGCCCTTGTTAATTACCAGAGAAACCTACCGGGGAGCTCCGTCTGGGATTTGCGGGTCTGCAGCGGCTCTAGGCTCCGGTTTCTCCTTTATCCCTCTCGCTGCCGTCCAGGTGCACGTCCTGCCTCTCGTAGGATGGACATGATGGACGGCTGCCAGTTTTCGCCTTCTGAGTACTTCTATGACGGGTCCTGCATCCCATCCCCCGAGGGTGAGTTTGGGGACGAGTTTGAGCCCCGAGTGGCTGCCTTCGGGGCGCACAAAGCAGAGCTGCAGGGCTCAGACGAAGACGAGCACGTGCGAGCGCCCACCGGCCACCACCAGGCTGGTCACTGCCTCATGTGGGCCTGCAAAGCGTGCAAGAGGAAGTCCACCACCATGGATCGGCGGAAGGCGGCCACTATGCGCGAGCGGAGACGCCTGAAGAAGGTCAACCAGGCTTTCGAGACACTCAAAAGGTGCACCACGACCAACCCCAACCAGAGGCTGCCCAAGGTGGAGATCCTCAGGAATGCCATCCGCTACATCGAGAGCCTGCAGGAGTTGCTGAGGGAGCAGGTAGAGAACTACTACAGCCTGACGGGACAGAGCTGTTCCGAGCCCACCAGCCCCACCTCCAACTGCTCCGACGGCATGGTAAGCAGTAGCCCTGGTACCTACTAGGTTACCCTGATCTTTTCTAAAAATCCTTACACCTCATTTAAACCAAGTGTGATGGGGACAGTGGGGTAGGACAATTGCTGAGTCGCTTTGAGACAAGAGAGGTGTCCACATTTAGAAAGATACCAGGAAACAGGGGCTGAACAAGATTTCGATTTGACTTTGTACCCGGTTCTAGGTGTGCACTGTAACAGAGGGTTAGCACATGAGACAGATGGCTGTGAACGCTCAGTCAGATGTTTTCTCCATCACTCAGTTTATTCCCAAAGTACACCACCTGCGGATGCTGCCATACACTAACATCTGAAGGCAATGCTTGTAACTTAATGAAGAAATGGAAAAAATACCCACATGTCCCCAGTTCCTGCTCTGCTAAGGCCTGGCTGGCTGGAAGGAGATGTTGATGCATTCTTTTCAGAGGACGTTTGCTCCAATGCTGCCAGGTTTTAATGTGTTTTTGCCCTGGGAAAGTGTTCTTTCCCTGAATTAGTGTGGCTTCCTTCTACTCCAATCCATTTTGCATGGTTAACCCAATGCACATTGCCGCCGAGTTCCACCCCCTCTTTCCTTTGCTGCTGCTCTCCTCTTCTTCAAGCACAGAGATTGACCTCTGTGCCCTGGGGATTTGGGGAGGGCTAACCCTTCCTAAATCAAGGCAATGACCACGTAGAGTAGTCAGTTTACAGAGCTGGTACGCAAGCACTGCCTCGGCCTAGGTCAGAGCATCTTTTGCCAAGAGCTGAAAACAAATTTCTTTTGTGTCTTGTGTTATAGCCGGAATGTAACAGTCCTGTCTGGTCCAGAAAGAGCAGCAGTTTTGACAGCGTCTACTGTCCTGATGTACCAAATGGTAAGAATTGATAACTTGAGAGGAGTTTAAAGACCAGTTCAACCTCACAATTCAGCCTATCAAAGCAGAATCTGTGCATCCAGGTAATATTGGGGAGGGGAATGGAAGTGATGGTTCTTACGGGAAGACTTTGGCAGAGCAAAACAAACACACATCTTCTGCTCCAAATCCACCCCCCCACACACACACACGCACACCCGCACACACACACACACACACACACACACACACACACACACACCCTCTTTTGCTTGAAATATTCCCACTACCCACCTCCACCCTCAGGAATTGCCAGATATTGGCTGCAAATTTCTACATTAGGCCTTCTGTGACCTCCTGACCCCTGGGTGTCAAAGGAACTGACCTACAGTTTAAGGGGCAACATAAGCAAGTCTATCTATCTGGGGATAATTTTTTTTAATGTTTGTCTCCTTGTATTCTTAGTATATGCCACAGATAAAAGCTCCTTATCCAGCCTGGATTGCTTATCCAGCATAGTGGACCGGATCACCTCCTCAGAGCAACCAGGGTTGCCTCTCCAGGACCCGGCCTCTCTCTCCCCAGTTGACAGCACCGATTCACAGCCCGCAACTCCAGGGGCCTCTAGTTCCAGACTTATCTATCATGTGCTATGAACTAATTATCTAATCTAGATCAGTTCTGCCAGGAGGGCCTATTACACAGAGGAGGAAGGAGGCCCCAAAAGTCCTAAACCAAGACGACCTGTATATAAAAATATGTTTTCA